CTTCCCACGCCAAGAAGGACAGCAAGGACGAGGAGGAATGGGCCTACGTTGGCGAGTGGGCTGTTGAGGAGCCCAAGGTCTACAAGGGCATGGAGGGCGACAAGGGTCTTGTTGTCAAGAACCCCGCTGCTCACCACGCCATCTCCGCCAAGTTCCCCAAGAAGATTGACAACAAGGGCAAGACTCTCGTTGTCCAGTACGAGGTCAAGCTTCAGAGTAAGTCTCATTCTTGCCCCAACACTCGACCACTCAATTTTGTGCGGTGCTGACCAAAATCCTCCACCAGATGGCCTCGAGTGTGGTGGTGCTTACCTCAAGCTCCTCCGCGAGAACAAGGCTCTTCACTCCGAGGAGTTCTCCAACGCCACTCCCTATGTGATCATGTTTGGTCCTGATAAGTGCGGCCACACTAACAAGGTCCACTTCATCTTCAACCACAAGAACCCCAAGACTGGCGAGTACGAGGAGAAGCACCTCAACTCTCCCCCCACCGCTCGCATCGTCAAGACCACCGAGCTCTACACCCTCATTGTTCACCCCAACAACACCTACATCATCCAGCAGAACGGCGACCAGGTCAAGACTGGCTCCCTTCTCGAGGACTTCACCCCCGCCGTCAACCCTCCCAAGGAGATTGACGACGCCAAGGACACCAAGCCTGAGGACTGGGTTGACGAGGCCCGCATCGCTGACCCCGAGGCCAAGAAGCCCGAGGACTGGGATGAGGATGCCCCCTACGAGATTGTCGACGAGGAGGCCACCAAGCCCGAGGACTGGCTCGAGGAGGAGCCTCTCACCATTCCCGATCCTGAGGCCCAGAAGCCCGAGGACTGGGATGACGAGGAGGACGGTGACTGGATCGCCCCTACTGTCCCCAACCCCAAGTGCTCCGAGGCCTCTGGCTGCGGCCCCTGGAAGAAGCCCATGAAGAAGAACCCCGACTACAAGGGCAAGTGGACTGCCCCCTACATCGACAACCCTGCCTACAAGGGCGTCTGGGCTCCCCGCAAGATCAAGAACCCCGACTATTTCGAGGACAAGACCCCTGCCAACTTCGAGCCCATGGGAGCTGTAAGTTTCATCTCAATTTGCTGGCTTTGAAATGACCATCACCTGCTAACACATGTTGACCAGATTGGCTTCGAGATCTGGACCATGCAGAGCGACATCCTCTTCGACAACATCTACATTGGCCACTCCGTCGAGGATGCTGCCAAGCTTGCCGAGGAGTCCTTCAAGGAGAAGCACCCCATTGAGCAGCTCGCTGAGCTCTCTGACAAGCCCAAGGAGGCCGAGAAGCCCAAGTCCCCCAACGACCTGAAGTTCCTCGACGACCCCGTCCACTTCATCAAGGAGAAGCTTGACCTCTTCATCACCATCGCCCAGAAGGACCCCATCCAGGCCATCAAGTTCGTCCCTGAGGTTGCCGGTGGCATTGGTGCCCTTCTCGTCACCCTCATCGCCATCATCGTCGGTCTTGCCAGCTCTGGTGGCGCTCCCCCTGCCGCTAAGAAGGCCGCCGCCGACGCCAAGGACAAGGCGAAGGAGGTCAAGGACAAGGCCACCAAGGCCGTCGCTTCTGGCGCCGACACCGCCAAGGAGGCCACAAAGCGCAACACCAGAAGCTCCTCGTAAATGAACGTGGCTGAAGGTGGAAATGTGAATTAGCTCGCTTTCTCTTTGATACTCTCGGTGAAAAAACGGGCCGTGGCAGTTGTCTGAAGCAGAGCAACAGGGTCCCACTATCAGGAAGGAAGAGGTATACGGATGCTGCTTTTTTTTCAGTTAACCTCCCTCACTATATGTCTGTTTTGGTCATGAGAGGGACAGGCAGAGAAGCATGGCGTAGGTGTATTATAGCAACCTTAGCAAACCAAAAAAGGATTGACCAATACTCTTGGATGTCATGCGAGTGAGAGAGAGATTGGAGCGCAGTTAAATCTGGAATGTGTCCGCGAGTGACACGGATAAGGTAATCTGAATCCCGCGGGGAGATGGTGGCAGCCAGGATCTGTCGAGTTGTGTCGGGTCTGTATCAAGGTAGAGGCCCACCGGTCTGTTCTCCGCTTAAGAACGGGACAGTTGAATCTCATCGCGCCGTTTACGCTGGATACGCTACGCCTATGATTTTCCCCGCCGCTGGCTTGCGTGCACCTGACGCTCGGCCACTCGGTTTATGGCGGCATTTGGGCCGGCTTCGGCAGGAAAAGGAGGGAAGGTCAACCGTGGGAGCTTGGGGAACTGGGCAGGGATCCGAAGCAGCGTTATCATTACCCCACCCCAACCTTTCCCCACACTCTTGGAGCTCGCCGCGTTCCCTTGGACTTTATAAGGGACTACGATGTCGCTCGACTCCGGCCTCCGTCGACGTGGCTGATAATTGGTTCTGTCTAGTGTGCATTGCAGTAGGGACGAACTGACCGACAATTGTTGCACCATCTGTTTCTAGTCTGCCAATTGTGTCCTCAAGCCGAGCTGCCCCTTCTTAACCTCTCTCTCCCTTTCCCCTCCCCCGCCTTCTTCTCTTCACAATGCGTCGAGCCATTTCTCGAGGCATCACTACCGGTGCCCGCCGTTCCTCTGGACTCTCTCTCGCCCGCTCATCCATTCTCTCGTCGCCAGCAATGGCTTCCAAGTCTGTTCCCGCCGTTGCGGCGAGGAGGATACACGCCACGGCGCAGCACCTCAACGCTGCTCTCGCCTCGACGGCCGAGTCTTTCCCCAACACCCACGAGAAGATCGCGAAGCCCGAAGATACCCCCTACTTCATTGACAACCAATTCGTGACCTCCAAGGCCACCGACTTCATCGACCTGCATGACCCTGCTACCAACAACCTCGTCACCCGCGTCCCGCAGATGACCACCGAGGAGCTCCAGGGCGCCGTTGCGTCTGCCGAGGCGGCGTTTCCCAAGTGGCGCGCCATGAGCGTGCTCGCCCGCCAGCAGATCATGTTCAAGTTTGTCGCGCTCATCCGTGAGAACTGGGACCGTCTTGCGGCGAGCATTACCCTCGAGCAGGGCAAGACCTTTGCCGACGCCAGGGGTGACGTTCTTCGTGGCCTGCAGGTCGCCGAGGCCGCCTGCGGTGCCCCGGAGCTCCTCAAGGGTGAGGTCCTGGAGGTTGCCAAGGACATGGAGACGAGAAGCTACCGCGAGCCGTTGGGTGTCGTGGCTGCCATTTGCCCATTTAGTGAGTTGCCTCTTGTGTAAGTGATGAGTGAAAGTGAAGCTAACTGTCCAGACTTCCCCGCCATGATTCCGCTTTGGTGCATCCCCATCGCCACCGTTACCGGCAACACCCTGATCCTCAAGCCTTCCGAGCGCGACCCCGGTGCGGCTATGATCCTCGCCGAGCTTTGCCAGAAGGCAGGTTTCCCCGAGGGCGTTGTCAACGTCGTCCACGGTGCCCACAAGACGGTCGATTTCATCCTCGAAGACCCCACTATTAAGGCTGTCAGCTTTGTCGGTGGTAACAAGGCCGGCGAGTACATCTTCAACAAGGGTTCCGCCCATGGCAAGCGTGTCCAGGCCAACCTGGGTGCCAAGAACCACGCCGCCGTCCTCCCCGACTGCAACAAGAACCAGTTCCTCAACGCCGTCGTCGGCGCCGCCTTTGGTGCCGCCGGCCAGCGCTGCATGGCCCTCAGCACCCTCGTCATGGTTGGCGAGACCAAGGAGTGGCTTCCCGAGCTGGCCGAGATGGCCAAGAAGCTCAGCGTCAACGGTGGCTTCGAGGAGGGTGCCGATCTCGGCCCTGTCATCTCTCCCCAGAGCAAGCAGCGCATCGAGAGCCTGATTCAGAGCGCCGAGGATGAAGGTGCCACTATCCTGCTTGACGGTCGTGGCTTCAAGCCCGCCAAGTACCCTAACGGCAACTGGGTCGCCCCTACCATTATCTCCAACGTCACTCCTAACATGAAGTGCTACACGGAGGAGATCTTCGGACCCGTCTTGGTCTGCCTCAACGTCGAGACCCTCGACGATGCCATTGCTCTCATCAACAAGAACGAGTATGGCAACGGCACCGCCATCTTCACCCGCTCCGGTGCGACCGGCGAGACCTTCCGTCGCAACATCGAGGCTGGCCAGATTGGCATTAACGTGCCTATCCCCGTCCCTCTGCCCATGTTCTCCTTCACCGGTAACAAGAAGTCTATCGCCGGCGGCGGTGCCAACACCTTCTACGGAAAGCCGGGCATCAACTTCTACACTCAGCAGAAGACCGTCACCGCTCTGTGGTCCAGCGCCGACGCTGTGTCGCAGAAGGCCGATGTCTCCATGCCCACCCAATCGTAATCATGTTTTGGAGGGGTATCCGATGCCCGGTCCGGTTCCGATAACTTTCCGGTCGGCGGGGCCGGTCCCGCTTTTTGCGGGATGCTATCCGCAGCCGGGTGTCGAGCCGTCGATGGAGCGATAACGGTGTTTTTGGTTTCGAATTACACGGGCTAATGAAACTTATCTCAAGGGTTTTGATAAGTAACCGGCTGGACTGAAAAAGGAATGTCAGGTTGATCAAAAGGATGAGGCATTTAAAGCAGTTCACGCATGATAAATGAGGTTGAGAGTTATTTGTATTTTCATAGTTGCCAAAATGAAGCATCTCGACATGAACACATCTAATTGTGAGATTTGAAATCTGAATCTGTTGATGAGACCTTGGTCGGTTGCGAAAATTGACCATTAGGAAGCCAATCTAGCTGGCCTGCAACGCCTTAGTAATATGGATCCATATTCTCGGTCGTCTCAGACGTGCATCCCAACTTCATCCAAGCCTCCAGAGCACCTGCGGCGACAACACATCTTGGCTTCCACTCGACACAAGGTTGACGAATGCCAAATCCGTGTTAGCCACTCGCATTCGAATGGCCTGTAGTTTTATTATAGCTTTGTAGTATTCACTTACGGCTCGAACCATCTTCGTTCGAGACCCCATCAATAATCCTTCGTCTGCGGCCCGATTGAAGAAAGGAGGAGGAGCTGCAGGAGCCGGTCACGATGTTTCAATTGACAGACCTTCCCGATACCCTCTTCCTCGACATACTCACCCACTTGGCTCCCCGCGAGATAGTCCTCAACCGCCGCGTCTCCCGTGCGTCTCATGCGGCTCTCACAAGACCAGACCTGTCCCAGGCGCTCCTCCACGTCTTCTTCCCCAGATCCTTAGAATGCCGCACTCTGAGATCCCAAATCTCGTCAGCAACCGAAAGCCAACCAGCCTTGGTGCCAGATGCGGAGCTGGCAACAGAACCATATCCAGACTGGCCGTCCATCTTTGCCTCCGTGGCCCGCCGCTACCACAGCCTCACATCCGGCACGTACCACGCTCTCTCAACGATTCCGGTTCTCAAAGATGCGAAATGCTTTTACCCCTTCAATCCCTGGAATCGCACCCTCCGCCGCGATGAAATGACGTTTCCCCTCCAGCTCCCAGACCGGAGGTGGACATGCTCCGATGGCATCATCATCTACCCCGCCCCCTCTTCTCCCCCCGTCTTCAAAGCCCTAGACCTCTCATCAAATAGCGAAACCACTGTCCCCTTTGACTGGTCCTCCAAAATCGTCCGTCGCGTCCGTCTCTCGCATCACATCTTGGTCATAGAGTGGGCAGAAGAGGACGGCTCCCACCCCTTGAACGACTCGGAAACAGCCCACCGCCACTTCGCGTCCGCCTTCACCGTGACCACCACCTCCTCGCCCCTCCACCCCTCCGCGCCATCCCCTCCCACCGTCGAGTTCCGTTCGGAGTGGAAGATCCACTACCTCGGCCTCCCCCTTTCCCCCTCCGACCGCCTCTTCTCGACGCACAACGCAACGCACTACGCCCTTTACGCCCACCAGCCAACCCGCTCCCCCTGGGGCGAGGACAACCCCCTCGAGCGCCTCGTCGTGTGGTCCCTCAACGGCCCCTCCGCGTACAGGCCCTCCCTCGACCCGTCCTCCACACACAAACCCGCCACCGACGCCGGCCCGGAAATCGTCTTGCGCCTGGCGAACAGCGACCTGGACCGCTGGGGCATCCGGCAGCGAGACACACCGCGCCTGATGCGCCTCGTCCTCGACACGACCCGCGAGGCCCGCGGCGGCAACGTCGTGCTGCAGGAGGAGGACCACCAGTGGGCCGCGGGGCCGCAATCCTCCGAGGCCCCGCCGGCGCGCCACTTTCTCCGGAGCACCGGCGTCCCGCTCACGGCTCTCGGCCCGGCGCGGGTCGACGAGTGCGGCGCCGAGGGCGACGCGGAAAGGTCCTTCTGCCCCGCCTCCTCCTCCAGCAACAGCCCTGGACGAGCCACCGGCGCCCCCTGCTGGCGCCACGAGGAGTTCCCATACCTCACGGTCGCCGAGGTCGTCGACGAGGCGGCGGGGGTGCGGGTCTGCGGCAGGCGGTGCTTTGCAATGGAGACGGTCAGCGCGAGTGTGGATGGGTCCTTCTCTGCTGGTGGTGGTGGGACCACGACGGCCGAGGCAGTGGAGGACGGTGGAGACGCAGGCCGGGCAGAGGTGCAGTTCCCGGATGACATGTGGAGGGCCGTCATGTCGGGGGCGACGCTGGCGGGCGATGAGAGGTGGGTTGTCGGCGAGGACGGTGCGGGGGACGTGAGCGTGGTACGATTCTGATAGGGCTGGGGTGGAAGGTCGTCTGATGCAAGGGAGCTGGCCTCAAAGCTAGCCGTTGCTTCGCCGTGCAGGGACATTGCCTTGCCATGAGCTTGCGGCAGGCAGCGAGCGGCACCGGCTCCTTCGGGCAAGGCCAGAGGGGTTCCCTCGGCATACTGCTGGACGGATCGGGAGCTGTCACGGTGGGTTTATGGGGAAATGGGAGATGAAAGCTCACCAGGGTCCCCCAAGCCATGGTGCCATGTTCTCACGATGATGGCCCCAGTCTGCGCGCGGCATCGTGGAGCTGAAAGGATGTGTGATCTGCAATGAAGATTCCGTCTATTGACATGTGTCTCTCTGCCTGGCTATGGTGGTCCATCCCAGAAGAAAGAAAAAAAGAGAATCGGCTGCCACAAAAATAAACCCAGAATACCGTAAAGAGATACCAAGAGAAACCAAGCACGCTTTGCAGCAAAGTTGCTTACTGTTCCATCTCTACCCCCTTAGCTCCTGAAAATGCCGAGATAACAATCGCACCGCCGCCGCACTCCCCAACACCTGCTGGACAAGTTGGAAGGAGAGAGAAAGTGTGATGAGTTCATGCCTGCGTTGCTTTTTTCTTGATAATGCGTGATGCCCTGTTTCCAAGCACCTTGATTATGTGTCGTGATGTGAGATGCGTAGTATGATACAGAAACGCTTCAAAATAGTCGCCCCTGAGAACAGACTAGATATTAATGATTTGACATGTCTAGACTGCCATGGGGGTTGCTGTCGGGGTGGGGGATGCGCCGCCGTTGGGCAGCTGAAGGAAGCCGTCGTAGTAAGTATCCAGCCAACGGGCAGCCTCCTCGCCGGCGTCATCCATGCTCGAGTCCCACCTGCCGACGGATCCAACATAGCCGTCGGGTCGTACGTTGACGATGGCAACCTCGCCAGGGCCGAGGCTGCCGAGCCACTTGTTGGTGCAGAGCTGGCCGCGCGTGTCCTGTTCTGGGATGTCGTCCAGGTAGAACGTCCAGCGGCTGTCCTGCAGCAGGGCTGGCAGGTCTGAGATCTCCACATCGGCCTTCGGCATGGTGGCTGGGGTTTTGTCAGCGCAGGTACAACGCATGGATCCACGTGCGATTGAACTTACTAAGCAGTGCAAATGTGAAGAGATGGCTAACGGCGGTGTATCGCTCGGGTCGGTAGTAAATATCCTCGGGAGATGGCAGCCTGGGCTGCGCGGCATATGACGCACTCGCAGATGCAGAGAGCTTGCTGATGAAGGAGTTGGCAGAGGCGATTGACTGGCAGAACGTCTCAAGGAAAGGGCTGGAAGCCTGGATGTCCCACATCAAGAGGTAGATGCGGAACTGGCCGAGCATGGGAATGTCGAGCTGGATATCAACGGGGTTGGAGTCGATGTAGCGGGTGACCTTGGCGGGAGGGAGCAAGCAACCGGGTCTGGCGTCTCCCATAACGAGGCCCTGGGGATCCGATCTGTTCAGAAGACTCTCCGCATACTCGGCACCGATACCAGAGATAAAACGGACGTTCGTCTTGAAGTTCTCTGCCAGTGCAACAGCGTCACCGCCGGCAATCTGGTTGGCATGCTCGTAGTCGAAGTTGACTAGGTCCACAGCGATCTTTCTTCGCTCCTCCTCGTAACTCTCGAGAAGAGCTTGCTTCGCAAGTCCGCGAATGGACAGGTTAAGCTTCCATGCCAAGTTCCAGGAGTCGTGCATCGAGGTGTTCATGCCCTGAGCAGACTTCGGGGAGTGCGTGTGACTGGCATCGCCGGCAAGGAAGGCCCTCAGGTGGGAGTCGCAGAACCGGCTGGCCACTCTCTGGCCAATCTGGTAGCGACCAAACCACTCAATGTACTTCCAGTCAACCTCGAACGGAGCCATGATCTTCTTTGCGCGAGCCATGACGAACTCCTGGCCAAGCTCTCGCTTATCGGCCTTGGGGTTCGCCTTGAGCTCAATGTAGAAGCGGGTCATGTTTCTCTCTCTAGGAATGATCAGAATCGAGCCGTACTCCTGGGAGTAGACTAATGTCTTGGACCAGATATCCGGAAAGTCGGTAATCAGCTCGCCGTCAAGAACACCCCAGATGGCAGGTTGCGACAAGCCAATGGCCCGCGCATCCGGGATGCTCTTACGAACCTTGGAGTGGGCACCGTCACCTGGATTTTGTTAGCTGCTTATATCGGGAAAACAAAGTACTTTGCCAGACGTACATCCGATTAGGTACTGCGTCAAAATGGTCCGCCTGTCTTGGGTGACGTTCGTGCGACAATTGACCTGGAGGGGCCCAGCCTTGTTTTCCGGTACGCTGTAGGACTCGAATGCCGTGTTCCTCCGCACCTCAACTCCGCGCTTCTTCAAGTCATCTATGAAGATGCCCTCGACCATGCCCTGGTGGACCAAAAGAATGTAGGGGTCCAGCACGTCAATTATGGGAGGGTAGTGAATCTCGCGGCCCAGTCTGTGGAGAGGCTCGTCGGCCGTGCTTCGCCAGAAGGAAATGTCGTAAACTCGGACGCCTCGTTGCAGCAAAGGATCGGCCAGGCGCATCTGGCGGAAGGTCTCGATGGTCTTGGGCTGGAGTCCATCTGCTCTACGTGGGTGTTAGCGTACCGACACAGTCGGACGTGGTTGATGTGCGCTCTACCTTCCAACAGGCGTCTGATCGGCTCTGTCGTCAATGACCTCAACCTTGATACCCATACGGCCTAGGTTGGCCGCCAGCATGAGACCGGCGGGTCCAGCGCCGACAACGCACACCTGGGACTCTATAGGAGGCTCAGGCAAGCTTCGAAGGAGAGTGAGGGTATCTACGGTGGCGTCCAGGGCGTTAAGACGCCCGGCGGCGGTGCCGGCGTGCTGGTCGTCCATTGAACCGTCGGAATTGAGTATACCGGGTGCCATAGTTCGTACAGTGATATCACAGTCTCTTAGACAGGCGGGGTTGGCCTTCGGGGGCAGCAGGCAGGTAGTTGTGTGGAGGGGCCGAGGTAATTGGAGGGCTAACTATGCAAGGTCAAGGCAATGCAATGAGGCTTCGTAGTAGTCGGGTTGTCTAGACAAAGCCGCGCTCGCACGGCAGAAGTTGGCTTGTTGTTGGACGTGGAGGTGGACGTAAACGTGGGGTTCTCGTGTGCTATGCGCAGTTGAAGTAGCATACACCGCACTGGCGCACACACACGCACACACGGCACACACTAAAGCGGGCGTGGAGCTCGAGCTCGAGGCGAGGGCGGAAACAGAGGTACGGCTCCAGCCGTTGAGCGGTGCAGTGGTGTTCTCGTCCGAGGATGTGTGTGTGTGTGTGTGCGACAGGAAAAATGTTGGGTCCGGAGGTGGTATTCGAGATATAATAGTATTGGGTAGGGTCGCTGGGTATGCAGCCAGACCAGGGCAGATCAGAAACCAGGACCAGAACAGTGGGTGCAGCAGAAGCAGCAGCAAACCACGAGCGAGCAGACCAGAAACAAGACCTTAGACCTGACCAGGGCTTGCAGACCAGACGAGACACGGGACAGACGGTGTGAAGAGTGTCGATGAGAGAAGAGGAAAAGAAAAAAAAATAATGAGGGCGATTGCTCCGGGGAGGGAAAAAAAAAAAAAAAGAGGGGAGGGGCGCGCCAGGAACCGGACAAGCTTGCGACGGCGAGGGTGAGTGTTGATAGCTGGGCGGTAGCTGGCGGAGGTAAGTGGTTCGACAGAATTAGAGATTGCTTCGCGGATGCTTCAAACGATTTTGGAAAATGGCATGACATGAGCTTTGGAGCGCGGCGGATGGAGTGAGAATGGGCTGATTTTGCGGATTATCTAAGTGTGGCAGGCATGCTTGTCCCCAGTATGAACGCCTTCCCATTGGACGAGCCCCTCCGAGCGGACGCCAGGGTCCAGCTGCTGAGCCGCTAGTCCTGTTTGGGAGTGCTCCAGAACGTGGCAGGTGCGTTCGACTTGATGCCTGCCCGCTGCGAGGTCTGAGGTCTGCACCTACCTTAGCCTCTTGCCTAGGTACCTGCCTACCAGTCAGAAGCATGGAAGCAAGGTACGTACACGGCGGGGTGGAAGGCCGCACCGTTGATGAGGCCACTTTTAGCCTCGTTTTTGAACAACACCCGGCCTTAATTGGATGCTTCTTGTTACCATTTTGCCCTCTTGACGCCCCGGTCCGATTCTTTTTTACTTCTTTGCTTGACTTGCAAGTACTGAGTTACAACTCCAACGTCAACAACACCCTGCAAGTGTATCTCGCGAGACGTCCTGTACAGCTTCCAAGCCAAGTGGGCTGCGATTAGGTTCCTTCAGTGAGAGGGGGAAGAAGCACCACGATGGATCAGAATGGATCCTTTCGTTCCCTTCCTTTCCCTTCTCAGGTGCTAGCTCGAGCAGCTCACACAAACGACAAACATGCCATGCGACCTTGCTGCATATTGTCAACACCATCACGGCATCTGACAGACTGCCAAACCCTCAAACGGCCGCCCTATCCCACCTTGCCTTAGTACACACTACACCTACCTTGTCCTGTCTGACCCCGTCATGTTCCATCATACCCTTAGCCATCCACTCTTCCTATCCTCCCCCGGGGCTAGGTCCGGCGAAGACGGAGAGGTTGGAAACGTGGAAACCCCCGATGCCGCACGCTCATCATCAGGCTCGGATGTATATTCCTGGTCTCCTCTGCAATATCTACTGCGGGTTTACACAGACGCAGCACCAAGCACAAAAAAGACAATGGAACCCTCAAGACAATTACTAAGCAGTAACATAGGATAGGCAACCCGCTGCATCATCCATCGTATGTACTGCGTATCCGCAGACGCTCATCTATTACTACGTACGGAACCTTCCATGCCAACGTCGCAGCACAGCATTTGACATGTCACTGTCAATATCCCTGGCGGGGCACTTTTTGTTTCTTTTTTCAACTTCTGACACCGGCTTTCCGCAACTTCCAGAGCCCCTTCCACGTCCCCAACCTTCCACACCTCCCAGTCCCTTCGCAACCCCCCT